CTACTTAGCTCTTATTTGTTTATCATTATTTCAAAATTCATTTTTTAAAAAACAAAATTCATTTTCGATCATACTTCTCGTAATAAAGTATTTTGCACGTAAATTTAAAATTCATTCTCGTTTTTAGCCCCTGTTTGGACCACATTATTTTTTTCATTATCATTCTTCTACTTATTTTTAACCACACATTTTTCAATAAAATAATATTTTTCATTACATCAATAACCTTTCCTTCTTTTTCAACCACACATTCTCCATCAATCTACTATTTCAAAATACATTCTTTCAAAATAATGTGACTCAAACACACCCTTAATCACATGTCTTTAAAAAACTTTCTATTTCAAAATTCATTTTTCCATTTTATAATTTTATTAGTAGACACGGGCTTACTGGTGTCCATGGTCCGTTGAGCGCGTATACTTCACGATTTCTTCCCCACTTGCCTATATGGTGAGAGCTTCTCTCTCTCTCTCTCTCTCTGGTCTCTACTGTCGTCAACGACTTTTACTTATTTCACTATCCAGTCCCTTCGAAAACCCTACATTGTCAGTGAAACCCCCTAAAACCCAAATCTGTGAAAATCAACAGCAGCCAAAGGTGCGAAATCCATCATTTTATTCGGCTCTTTCTGTCTCGATCTAGGTTTTTTCACCAAAAAAAAAAATTTTGACACCATTTTGTTGTTTAGATATAAGGCGAAATTAGGGCTTTTTTTTTTCATTTTCGAGAGTGAGGAAATTGGAGAATTGTATTGTATATTTGAAAATGGATGCCGCGGCCGGTGTCACCGTCGCACGCGGTGTTTCTATGCCGATGTCAACGTCATCTCAGCCTTCTCGTAAGGAGTGGCGGGTTGTTTCCGAGCAATCGGCTCGAAACCCCACTAGTGAGGTACATTTTAGTCGAAAACCCTACATGCATTGCTTCATTTTTATCTTTTTCTCGAAACATCTGCTTCTTTATTTATGTAAAGAAAATTATTTTTGGTTTAAACTTGAATCTTAAAGTTAGGGTTTCCAATCTTTTCTGTTCTTTTTATTTTATTTTATTTTAATTTGTATTTGGGCGGCCACATTAGGTCATGGAGCTTTCCAAGCTAGGCCAATCTGATGAGAGATTATATGAGGTAATTGCTTTCTATAAAAACTTATTTTTAAATCTCTTTTTACGAGTTACTTTCATTTTTTGAGTGGAGATGAAGGTGATTTGGACTGTTATATTAAGGTGCAGCAGGGAAGAGAACCCACGGATGTGGATTTCTGCTCGATAACTATTGACGGGGGTTTGGACAATGATGTTTTGCAGCAAAGACTTTTAACTGTGGTGAAACAAAGAGAGGAATTGCAGCATATGGAGATTGAGCTTCGGGCACAAGTCATTATAAGATCTGAGATTATGGAGATGCAGAAGTCATATGATGCACAGATCAAAGAGCATGCAAATGCCAATGTCAAATTTCAGGTTTTGCTCTATTCTTTCTGCCAATTACTAGTGTGTTTTTATAGATGGGAGTGTTGTTCTATTTTGGCATTCATGGGGGGTTTTGTTGCGGAATATTGGGCATGATTGGTTGTTTAGGAGCAACTGCATGAGAAGGAACAGAAGATTCACGAGCTAGAGAGAAAGATGGAAGAGAAAGAAAGGGAGCTGAATGCAATTAGATTAGACAAAGAAGCGGTTAGTTTGAGATTCTTATGGCAGTTTGTTTCTAGTCAATTTGGGTTTTCTGCCACTAATTTCCATTTTCCAGTGATTGTTTTGCTAATTTATCCTACCGTCTACTGTAGCAGGTTTGGGCCAAAGAGGATCTTCTAAGGGAACAAAGCAAGGAGCTCCAAAGCTTCAGGTTTGCCCTTGTTTTTGCATTGGAATTTCATTTGCCCTTGCTTGAAGTTTTCCAATTTATTTGCTTAGATACACTTACATTTGGTTTCGGATCTTATTTCACCTCCTTAAAGTGTTTAAGCCTCAGGAATATAAATTTATAATTGAAGGAACTGCGTCCTTTTTGCAGGAGAGAGAGGGATAGCACTGAAGCTGAAAGAGCACTGCATATCAGACAAATACACGATCTTCAGGAACATCTTCAAGAAAAAGAACAGCAGCTCATGGAGTTGCAGGATCAGGTATGTTGTTTTTTGTTTCAATGATGAACATCTGGCAATACTGTGTTGATTGAATCTTCTGAGGACTCGATGAGGTTACCATCTCGTTTGTTTTCCAAATACTTTTACGAAGGTTAAAAGGATATCCACGACGCTGTAATTGCACATTTTAGCTTTTTCAGTCAACTTAAACCGCATAATTCATGCTTATCTTATGACATGTGGTTTCTGCACTGTGCACTGTGATGTGTGCTCTGCCAATGCTCTTCATAAATAAAATGATTTATCTTGACTTAGTTTTGTTTCTTGAAATGTTAGTCTCTGTGTCCTGCCTATCCTCTGTTCAATTAAAGTTCTTCAAAAGGGGTATATATTATTTTGTGGGGGTGAACTTAAGACTGTTAATTTTTGTCTTTCAGCATAGGATTGCTCAAGAAACCATTCTTTTCAAAGATGAGCAATTAAGAGAGGCACAAGCTTGGATGACTCGTGCTCAGGAAATGGATGCTTTACAATCAACTACCAACCACACTTTACAAGCTGAACTACGAGAACGTGTAGAGCAGTATAATCAACTGTGGCTTGTTTGTCAAAGACAGGTGGTTAAGTTATCAAAGTATTTTTAGTCCTCCACATTCAAATGCTAAATTTTATTTGAAATCTGTTTTTAAATATACTCATTAGCTTTATCAAATTCATTAGTTTGGTGAGATGGAGAGGTTTCATCTGCATATGCAACAACTTCAGCTTGAATTGGCGGATGCAAGAGAAAAGAGTGGAAGTTACTCTGATGCTTCACACATCTCCCAGATAAATCCAAAAGATGCTTCTGAAGCTGGACAAAGCAATGGTAGCCAGCTGGAGGTGAAAGGAAATGGGACACCGAGTGAAAACTCTGGTAGCTTACAAAATGGGAATGTCGAAGGCACTTTGTCTTTTGTTCCAGGAGGGAATACTTCAATGCAGGTAAAACTGTTCTTATTCTGGACTTTGCCCTAGTTGTGTTAGTTGTGCCAGATACATATTCTCTGCTGTATCATTTTTTTATTTTTGTATGTGATGTATTGAATAAATCGTGCTGCTTGGTTCGATAGTCTGATTATTGCTCTACGTGTTGTTAATGAAGAATGGGTTCATTCCCCCCAATCACTGATGTTATTGCTGCAACTTGGTCTGTCCTGTTATGTCTTACTTTCTAGTGATGATAAATCAGGCTTCTCATCTCCTTCCCATGCAGGGGAATAGATCTAGAGAATAGATAAGAACACTACTAACACTTCAATAGCCAGAAATGCACAACATACGCACTGACTCTCTTCATTTATTCTGAAATATACTTTTTCTCCGTAGACCGATGCTCATGGTGTTCCATTTGCTCCTCCATCCCTGCTTGGGTTGCCACCCTACCTTCCACCTGTTCAGGTGACTGCTTTGCATCCATTTGTTATGCATCAAGGGGTGCCCCATACTGTACCGTCACATGTCACACAATCTATTTTCCAGACTATACCTACCATGCCATCTCTTCAACCTTCACAAAACCAACAGGTAATCAATTAAAACATGTTGAATTATTGGTTATATGTGCAAGTTTTGGTAACCGTATCTGTTCTTTCCTTGTGTATAGACTGTATCAGATGGTCAACAGATGCCTATCCACAACCAGTTTCCTCTGCAAGCTGAACAGATCTCATCTGTAGCTGTTTCTAGTTATGACTATGAAGCATCTGTAAATGGGAAAGCTCTTTCTTCAAATTATTTTGATGCCAATATCAGTCGAGGGATAGAGCCTAACTCCATGGTTCCGCCACCAAATAAAGAGGGGCAGGTAGTTAGTTCAAAGAAAGAATTAATCACTATACTTTCAAATGTTGAGCCCTATTCAGTTACTATGATCATTGTTCAGGCTCTTGAGTCCGTAGATGAAAGCTACCCTGCTGGAGCACAATCTCATCAGAGCTTGCAACAAGTTTCTTCGCAGTTTCATGATGTGCTTAGATTAGATCCTCTGGAACACAATAATGAGACCAAGGTTTTCATTTCCCGCTTTTATTTTAATCAGTATAATATAGCTGTTCTGTTTTACAGTGATGCTGCTTCTGGTCATTACAGATTGAGAGTTTATCTTGATTTTTAATTGGATAGGATAAGAATGACTGCCCTGTGACAGATCATAGACTAGAGAACAGAAGTTCAGTGGTGGAACCTAATTCTTCCGTGAATGCAGCCTTGTCTGAGTCACCTAATCATGCTGAAAATATCATCAAAATCACTATGAACACCGTCTCAGCTGCTGTTTTGTCTGATTCCACTGTATACCCTGGGCAGAAAAATTCTCATGTGATTGAAAAGCCTGCAGAGATTTCTCTACTTGATGAAAGATCATTACTAGCTTGCATAGTTCGCACAATTGGATCTGGTGGTAGAATTAGGATTGGTTCAACGGTCAGTTAAGTTGATTTTTATTTTTTTGTTAATTTACATTATTAATCACGTAATAATGATTTACTTGATGATTTATTGTTTTTGCGAGGACAGCTTCCAAATAGACTTGGAAAAATGCTTGCCCCCCTTCACTGGCATGATTATAAGAAGAAGTATGGGAAGCTTGATGACTTTGTGGCTGGTCATGCTGAAGTATGCCATTTCGGTTTTTTTTTTCCCTGCTTTGTATATTTGATAGAGCTTTATGTTAGGCATTGACTTTTCTTTTATCTTTATAGTTTTTTGTAATTGAGGGGGACTACATTCATCTTCGAGAAGGTGCACAAGAAATAATAGCAGCCACATCAGCTGTTGCTAGAGTTGCTGCAGCAGCTGCTGCAGCTGCAGCACCATCTTCGTATCCTACACTGTTACCTTCTGTGGCAGTCACTCCCATGGCACAACCCCACCGATTGAAGGTCTCCTCTCTTGAATTCACATCTGCAGATGCTGATATGACCAATTTCAATGAGATTGCAGCCTCTAGACCTTCGCATCTTGCTGGCAATCCTTCTAAGTTCTCTGCAATTCGGAATCAGAATATGAATGGTGCTTCCTTTAGTGTTGCTGGGGGAGTCTCAAATATTAAAATTTTGAGCAAACCTAAGGATCACATGGAACTGAATGGATCTGAAAACTCTGGACAATTGACAGTTGGAAATGGAATAAACACTGATAAAAATGGTGTTTTCCAAAGGAAGGATGCATCTCATGGGAAGTCCAGCGCAAGTTTAGTAGGCAAACATCAGGGCAGGTATTGACTTTAGCATTTCATGTGACTGATAAATTCTATGCATGCTACGGAATATAAGCTTACTGAAATCAACTGCTGCTTTTGCTAGGGCAACTGGTGCTGCATCAAGTCCTAGAAGATAGTAAGTACATTATATTTTTATCCATGTTGTGCTTTTATGTTACATTTCTTTTAAAATAGATAATATTCTTTATGCTGCTGTTTAGCTTGTGGACAAAACTTATGTGCATCTCTTCCCTACAATTTTTGTTTGAAATTTTGAGACTTCTCGGAACATGTGAATTTGAAAGCATATAAAAGTGAATTAAAAGTTGAAACTAAAGAGGATGATGTGGAAAGGTGAAATGGACATCAGAAATGCTAGCCTTCACGGTGATTTGTATTTTAAATTGAGGATTATAGCTATATATCTCAAATGTTACATGTACCAAGGAGAGATGCAATGTGACGGGGTAAAAAGTAAACACTATATGGGTTGGGTGTATTTCTTTAACTATGTTTCTTTAACTATGTTTATTTTTGTTTTATCTCGAATACATGCTTCATGTGTGACCAGTCGGTAAGGTTTGACCAATTGTTGTAGAGTAGAATTGGTGCCATATTCTTTTATTTGTTCATTTAGCATGTTAATTATGTCAAGATATTCGAAGAGGTTTTGAAGTGATCATACACTAATGTAAAACTTTTGAGGGTTGGCCCACTTGTTCTTGCTCTAAATGGGTATTAAGTTGGCATTTCTGAAGCTCCCTCGTTTAAATTCCTACTTCAGAGACTACGTTTGTGTGGATGTTTATTTTGCCTTTGGATTTGTGTATAGTTTTGTTCCCTCGTCTTTGATTTTGGCCTTTGATTTTTTAGAATATATCTTGGTGCTTCTTGGGGGAATGCCATGAGTAGTTANACTTGTTCTTGCTCTAAATGGGTATTAAGTTGGCATTTCCGAAGCTCCCTCGTTTAAATTCCTACTTCAGAGACTACGTTTGTGTGGATGTTTATTTTGCCTTTGGATTGGTGTATAGTTTTGTTCCCTCGTCATTGATTTTGGCCTTTGATTTTTTAGAATATATCTTGGTGCTTCTTGGGGGAATGCCATGACTAGTTAAACACCAAGTGCTACTGGAAATGATGAGAAGAGGGAGGTTATATGCTCTCGAGTTGGAATCTCCAATTTATTCTATGAGATCGATAGTACTGGCTGCATTGAATCACATGTTCAGTTTGATTGGAAGAACTTGTTTTCCTTTAGCATTTTTGTGTACTGGAAACTGTATATTTACCTGCATTGATGTTCTGGTGCATCTTTCGGATTTAGAATTATTGAAAAATAGTGGTGATTTTGTAACTTATTTTTCGAAGGTTGGTATACCAGCTTCTGCATTTGAAAGCTGGTCATTATCCAAGAATGGGATAAAACAGTTATATTCAGGACTCGGGGAGTGTTGTTATGATGTGGTGTACACTCGTTTTCTGGTGATTAGAATTGCTATTGTTGTCTGAAAATTCTTTTTAATATGTCACATGCCAAGTTACGGCAAACTAGAGGATAGAGAGTATTTCGTGGGAGAAAAGGTAAAATTGTTCAAGAGCAGGAATACAAAAAGAAGGGGAAAAAATAAAATAAAATAAAATAAAAATAGCAGTGATGTGAGGCGAGCCTACTGATCTCCAAGCTGGATCATTGATTGTCAATTCCATTTTTGTTGCAGTTAAGTTATTGATTAATTAAACAGATTTCCTGGGCAGAATTTCATAGCATCGTTTCTTTGTGATGTGAGACTGGTTCTATCAAACTTTCAGCATCTGTTTTCTGCGCCGGAATATGTTATTAAGCTTAAGCATGTTTTGCTTTGCCCAAAATTGGCTAAAACTCTCCTCTCGGCAGCAAGGAAGGCCTTGCTGCTGAAAGAAGCCATATTCATTGAAGCTTAATCAACATGCTCATTTATTTGGGTAAAACAAGAAGGAAAAACAGAGGATTCAATGCCTTTTTCTGTTGGACTCGACATTTGAAACTTTCAATACCAAAACCTAGCAAAACAATACTCCTGGGAGGTTTGCTCTTTATACTGAAACCTTTTCAAAACAAATGCGATGGTGGGAAACATATCAATGCAAGGCTAGCTGCAAACTTGGCAAAAACATTTATGGTGTAATGAAGAGGACTAGAGGAAAATAAAAAAGACATTACTATAGATTGTTTCATATAAGAAGCACAAGAAACAAGTAAAATATCAACTAAAAAAGTTTCTACAACTTCACCTAAAACTGTTTGTTCTTATACCACCTATAAGTTTGTATAACCATTTGGAAATCAATCTCTACCCTCAGTACGTCCTAAACCCAAGTTTCCTTGGCCATCGCCAGAAATAGCCTCCAATCCACCTGGCTGGTTTCCTCTCAAATCCATCAAACTGCCTGAAGTGCCAACTCCAGGTTGCATAAGAAAATGCATGCTGTTACTGACACCACCTCCTAGGCCAAAGTGCCCTTGCATCTGTTGCTGTTTTTGGAACTGGAGTAGTTGATTTTGCTGGTCTTGAGGCCGGAGTGCATTAACCTGGAATGGCAACTTTGCAATTGGGGCACCATGTTGCTGTTTAACTGCTGAAGCTTGAGTCTGCTGCAAATAGTTTCCTTGCGAAGCAACAGAACTAGTGGGAACCTGCAATTACTCTGTTATTGTTAGCAGGAAACTACATACCCATAATACATATAGGACAACTATTAGACGTGCCTGTGACGGTGTTGATCCTGGTGGTGGCTGGGCATCAGCAACTGCTGCTAAATACATCAAATTCTTCTGAAGTATAGCTTGGTACCTAAATCATTTAACTTGTGAGAAGGGCGATGCATGATTTCCTCATATATAACATTGGGTAATTCTATTTTGCATAGAATTTCCTTGGCTAATATGCAGAATTTCACATTCATACGATGACCAAGTGATAGCGATAATTGATGATAACGATGGTGGTAGTACCATAAAGATGGTGAAGATTAATATCAATAAAGCCTTACAAAGACCAAAATAAGACCAGTCCATATAGCAAAAAGTGACCTCCATGTATAATTTATTCATTTAATAGACTCCAGCAATGCCCACAACAAAAACACACACAAAAACAAAAAACAAGGAATCCTGCAACTCATAAATTTCCGGACTCCTGTCAAAACCATAATTGCAGCTCTGTTTGCATACACCTTCACTTACCAAAATACAGTGTTGACATACCTCTGTAAGTTCCCCAACACCCATTTGGGACTAAAACCCATAAAACCTACTAATAGTATTGCGACTCAATGACATGATGCTATTCACTAACTTCACAACTTCTTGTGATTAAGAAATTTAATGCAGACTCATCATACGCTTATGGAAAAAGAAAATAAAAATCAATAAACATGCCAAATTGGCAGGTAAAGAACTAATAAACTAAATAAGATACTATTGCTTGAAATTTTCTGTCCATCAGAAACTCTCTTTACATAGCTCATGAACAGGACCCTCTTTAGGATTTGATCTCATCTTAATTCGCAAAACACCTGAATTCTACACGTCGTTTTTCAAATATTTTATTCTATAACAAAGACCCCCAAATAAAGATATAACGGGAACCATGTGCTTTTCAATGAACTTTACTGCTGATCCATCTCACAAATCAACCAGAGAAGTGGACGATATATCACATAAACCTGTTTTCTCATTGAAATGTAGGAAATAGTTTCCAAAAGAAACTAAGTAATTTATGTCTACATACTAATTTTCCATTACATATGAATACTTACGAAAACGTTCCGAGGGTTTCAGCTTTTTTGCTACTCCAAAACTCACCAGGAAAACAGAACTGTACGCAGTCAATACATCAATATACTTGCAAATGAAAAGGGCCAAATGCTCATATCCTGTAGTGCAACCAGAATTTTTCTAGAGGGAAATCAAAGGAAACTTACTGGGCACATTCAGCCATTT